TGAAAAGAAGAAGATATATACCAACGTCGATAAACACACAAAAAACCTTATCTGCCGATGGAAGATTTTTATTGAAAGAACTCAAGAGAAATGGGAGATAAAACCTTCCTGGTGAAGGGAACAAAAATGCATCTTATCTTTTACTGTATTTTTGTGCTTATTTCAGAAAAGATTAGTAAGCTAGGATTAAATACAAAACTTTGACATCATCAGCAGACCTCGAAGTTCCAAAGTAAAAATGTGGGAATTGATAGAGCAGTCAGAGGCAGTGTATTAAAAATGCTTTTTCTTTTTCTGTGTTCAGATAAGCAATTTCGCTTTTTATCAGTCGAATGAGTACAAAAATTTAATTTTACTTCATGTTTTTATAAGCAGGAAATATGCAAAATTTCAAACCAATATAAAAATTACAATACTAATCATAAACACCATTTCGGTAGATGCAGATTCGGTTAGTACGTTGATGTTGCTTAAGACCAGACGTAAATAATGTTATTGGAACTAGAAGAAATCAAATCATGGTCAAAGAAATTTTGTAATCTACCAGAATCGTGAAAGAAAGAAACGACAGAGCTAGACTTTATAGTCTGTTATACTTTTTTCTGAACAGAATACACGAAAAATCAGCGTTGCCAGCTCTGGAATCCAAACACCGAACTTTCCGATTGCTGGCCGGACATGCTGCCCCCTTAAACTGAAAATGTATGTTTCGAAAAAGGGAAAAATTCATTACAAGATGACGTAGAAATACTAGCCCGTTAAAAGCAATAAACTTGGTTAAAAGCTTTGGAGTTCAAATGAAATGACATCAGCGCGTAAATGACATGTAGTTATCTGCTTTTGCTGAAAAGCATAAGAATCAAACCGCAGCTCGAGGAATAACTTAATAACTTAACAGCTGAAACTTGAGGAATTGCTTTTCAAAAATAATTAAAAAAAAACACATGCATGATGTGATTTTGATTTATATAAATACATACGATTACATGCGATTTACATACGATTTACATACGATTTTATGCATTGAATGGTTGGAAAGCTCCAACTGCTTCAGGAACATATAATGAAAATTAAATTTTTATTCATGAAGTGAAAGCGACCATCTGGTAGATGGTTTTAGCATAAAATGGTTTGCAAATCCAAATAACATTAATTTAGAGACATTTTTATGGATGCAATATGTAATTCTTAGATAAAAGCATAAAAGTAAGTAAAAGGGGGCAATGTAGGGTGTTTTTCGCTACTTTGAATTTTTAGAATAGGGCCCCAAACATATTACTGTCGACCCTGTATTTAGATTTGCTAACTTTACTAAAGCACGCGATATCTATCTTCTAAGATAGGAATATTTCACTTCCGGCAAACTTTCTAAGGAAAACTTACATGCATTTAGGTTTACATATAGAGAAAACCATGAAAATTCCATGCAGCTGATCTATTCCTTTGCTGAAAATAGAAGCCTAGAATAATTGATAGTGTTGTGTTGCTTCAGCGACTAGATTTCTCACTTTGATTTTGGAATTAGAAATATAATTACAAAGATCTCCACTAGAGGAGATCATAATTCATTATTTTTTTCACACATATAAAATCTAGTTAAATATGTTTCCTCGTTTATAAATTACAGAAGTTTTCTTTTTCAATAATTCCTGATATTATAAAGGAAAATTTTCTTTCTTTCTTTCTCATTTTTTTTTTTTTTTTTTTTTTTTTTTTTTTTTGTAGCAGGTTTAAATAGTCGTTGATTGAAACCACACTAATTTTACCTAACAATCGGAAAATGACACAAATGACGTGAACTCTTTCATAATTATATTACTCATTAGCATAAAAAAAACTTAACTTGGGTTGAAGATTACCTCAGAAGAGTTTTTTTAATTTCTTAATTTAGATGCCATACAGTCTGGTAATACATATCTTATATAATACATAATAATAAGTCTGGTTATACTACAGCCATATCAGTGGCCGATAAGACATCTAAATATTAGTTCTTCGATTTGGATTCAAACTCAGACAAACGAATGCGATGGCTGTGTGTGGTATTTTCCATGTTTAACATGAGTATGAGCTATTCGTTAGAAAGTCCTCTATGAAGGCATCTTTCTACTTAAAAGCAGATAGTCCTCGTGTATTTTGCTGTATTCAAATAATCCTAGCCTTCAAACTACGACACCTATCACTCTAAATCAAGATGAAAGTTTTCTAAACAAGATTTTTTAATCGGGCTGTTGGGGTTCCAGTGCCAATTGCTAAAACCGCTGAATACTGGTAATTCGACATGGGTTCAAATCCGGATGAACGCGCTTGTTCTGTAAAAGTTTTCCAGGGTTTTTCTACGTTCAGTGTGAATGAGATCTAGTTTCCCTTAGAAATTCCCTCCATGATAGTTTCAGTCCTCTTGCGCAGATTCCAAATCCATTAAATTTTCTTTATTAAATACAATTATATTCTTTCTTTTTAGAGAAGTCACAGGGAAAAAAAAAACTGTAAACATCAAATCGAGTACGATTACGAATATTTTTAAATAGTTAAATTTTGAGCGGGAAAACTTTTTTAATACGTTCATAAGCAACTGATAATTAGGGGAAGAAAAACATTTTAAATTGGCATAAAACTTTGTCGATTTCTACAATAATCTATATAAATGCGTTTTCAAAAACTTCTGCTGAAATATGAAGAGTCTTATTTGTAAAGCATTTATTAGTAAGATCTGTAATTATATACTTAGCTTTTAGTTTTCATAACCTTCCAGTCATCAGAATAAAGTCATTAAGCGTAAGGGGGGGGGACGAAAAAGGAATTTTAAAGAAAAGGTTATTTTTACAAAATGACTCAAAATTTCCTGAGCTAGTATAAGTAATTATGTAACTCAAATAATTAAATATTTGTGAAAATTTTATTGACCTCTCTCAGTCTTACCAATATTTCTGTATAGATATAGAACATAATTATTGATAATGGGTATCATAGATAGTGGAGGATATATAATGAGCATCACAGTATATAATTATGTTTGTCGCAAAAGCGGCCACTTTGATAAATGAACATAGCTGTCGGGAATCGCGCATGAATGTCACATACATGCTTTATAATACCAAGAATGTTATAAAAATGACGGTTATTTGATATCAACATTTACTGAACTTTCCAAAATGTTTAAAAATATGATATTTAAGAGTCAGCAAGTTTGTTTAAAAAATTGTATGCATTTCAATCACGGTGTTTTGTCGCTATAATCAGAAGCTCGTCATTGATATTTAGACTTTTTCTTGATGAGCTACCGAGTTCAAATTTTGTACTCACACCGTTTACGTATGGAAATACGGCAAGGTAAACCGAGTTTTATAAAATTCAATTTAGAGGTCTTAAAATTTAATGTTGAAAAAATTTTTTGCGCATATTTCCATTTAAAGAATAAACTAAAAATCTCACAGATTTTAAGTTTTGAATCACTTTACAGAGCGTAAAATAGCTTTTGAAATAAAATTTGCATAAAATTAATATAATTTCTGATTTTGGGCGAATTTTTAAAACTTTATACTTTTATGAGGTAGGAGGAATTTTGGAAGTAAAAGACAACCAAAAGGAGAAAAATAATTTGTCGTACAGATTAATGGGAATAAGAGGCCCTTTGAAAAATTCCTGTACAGTTTTACAACAAGCATAATAGATTCTTAAATAACGAAATCAAATAATCAAATCGCATTGTCAAAAGTATAAGATTTATAAATTTATCAAGAGAGCTGCACATTTTTAATTATTCGTGATATAAATTTGTAGAATTTTTTAAAAGAGAATTATTTAATCACGTGTTCCCAATAAATTATATAACAGTCATTATTTTTTCATTTTAATTCATTAATAATTTTATGAGTCATAAATAAAAATTTATTTTATAAAAACTTGTTTATTTTGTTCAATACTTGTTCTAAAACGGAAATTCTTAATTCCTTTTATATATACATTCACTTTGTAACTGGTAATAAATTTGTTTCCTTAAGAGTCAGTGTAAGGCCTTTATCTCAAAACATCAAGAAGACTTCTCCCCGCGCTAATGACAGCCATTACCCATTGTCATCAGGGGTTCGCGGACCCTTGTCTTCTTAGGCAATGGGGTTTGGAAGACGTACAAAAATACGGGCTAGACGTTTTTGGTGCATTTTCCAGCTATTACAAAAACACGGGAAGATCCGTTTTTGAGGGTACATTTAAACTAACAATAATCCGTAACAAACCGTTAAGAGACCTGCATAAAAAAACGAGAAAATCCGGGTCAAACTGTTAATGGGTTAATGCAGACCTTTATTGTGAACAATTGGATCGAGTGAAACCAATCTTTAATCAAAAAATATCCGGCAAATGCCAACAAAAAAGGCATTATTCTGTAAGACATTATTCTGCACTGTGCAAGACAAACATTGGAAAAAATTGGGGTGGGAGGTACTGCCTCACCTACTATCATCGCCCGATATCGCACCCTTGGATTTCCATTTATTCCGATCCCTACAACATTTACTTAGTGGCAAAAAATTTGAAAATTTGGATGATGTTCAAAATGCCAAAATTTAGATATTTTACTCAAAAACCGATTGATTTTTATCAGTCCGGGTTTGAAAATCTGCACACTAAATGGTAAAAGGTTGTTGATAATGAAAGAGATTATATTATTAATTAAAAATAAAAACATGTTAAAAATTTATTTGTTTGAATTTAATGTAAGAAAGCGATATTACTTTCCGCCCCCCTATTATTTAAACATTCTGTATATATTTTAAACTTTAATTTTTACTTGGATTTTTTTTAATTACTTGAAATTGATATCATGCTAAAATAATCTGGTAGCTTTTAATTCTGTATGTGATATTTATAAATTTTCAATATTGTTTATACAAATATCAAATTAGTTTTAAAGACTATTTTTCCTATCAGTGTATGAAAAGTTGCAGCATTCTAAATTAGTTAAACTATATATATGTTTTCATTTTCTTACCAGAAATTGAAAAGTTAAAACAACCTTCTTCAATGACTGAATGGGAAAAACAGCAGGAACTAGAAGAATTTGCTAGAGCTGCCATGCTTTTTAAACCTTCGTCATCTGCATTATTAAGTTCAAAATTTGAATCAAAATCACATCTTAGCGTAGAGCATGAAGTAATGTCTGCTCTGAAAAAACTTAAGGTATAAAATCAAATTCTTTTAAAAATATTAACTTCCTTACATATTATTTCTTAACATTGATGGATTATATTAAAAATATGTTTTATATTGAATTAGGATAAACATAAGTTTTAAATACTAATGGTTGACTGAACTTTTTTTATCATTCTCGTGTAATATGTGTTATGATGAAAGCAGAAACCGTTATCTATGTTTTATTAGCAAAACAGTCAATTTTAAGTTAATGTCAATCCAATTCACAAATTGACAAAATAATAAATAAATACCTGAGAGGATTTGTGAAGGAAAAAATTGCATATATTTTATTTAATCTGGAACAATTATCACTCTATTTTCTATTTCAGCAGTTTAAATCTTTCACTCAAAGTGAATGTAGATCAGAATTATATTACATTCTGTTAGACTTTCAGTGTCATAAATTATTTGTCTGCTTCTGGAATTTGCTATGTACTTCATGTTAAACGCCACCATGTAATATTCAAAATGTTATTTTGAAATTTTTCAGATTGTATTTAGTTAAATAAATATTAAAAGCTAATGAAAAGTTTTTCTGAGCTAATGGAGACAACTAACGTAGCTGACCCGTCTCCAAAACCAGTTTTCCTCATAGGGCAGCAAGTTGAAAAATCTGAACTGCAGGCATAATGGAGTTAATCGACACATGGAACTGACTCTGTTAGTTCAGATAAACCCCAATTTGTATGGCCCTTAAAGAATAGAAAGTGTACATGGGATAGGGTCTTTTGGGGAAAAATCATTTCTGAAACTGTCACAATACCAGTAAGCTGCTATGGGGAATGCAACAGCTGAGAATAAACCACTCAGGTTTTGGTTTCTGTTGTTTACTCCTTCATGGCCGAGGGAAAATTTCTTTTTAATGTAATTATGTGGGTAGTTTACCATGCTCCACTTGATAGAAAGGAATAAAATATCGAAGTGCAGCATCTTCCAGGCATGCTTTCATAATTAGAATTAATAAAAAAGTATTGAAATATTGCCATGGTTATCTTTGAAGATTATTCTAATGACATTGATTTACTGTTTTAGAGTTGCTTCTTAGAGTTTGATTACAGCTTTACTCACATACCCTATTTCATTGAACACTATGTTATAAAAAATAGAAATGGTCATGTTCTTAATCACCTGATATCTTGCTGCTGTTTTAAAAAGGACTGGATGGATGAAAACTACCAGAAGAGAGGCATTTTGCTGATATTGTAGAAAAAAAATTCCAAGCCTTTTTCTTACATTAACATGTTGTAAAGGAATGTTTTGTTTTGTTTTTCTTTTCTTTTTACATGAACTTCCATACATTTTTCTGTAGGACTTATAGTATGCAACATAATCATAAAACAAGTAATTGTGCATCAATAACTTAAAGATAACAGGGTAAAAATATGAACAGAAGTTTTGAAAAAAAATTATTTATTAGATTTATTTTTATTTATTTTTTTTATTATTTTTTGTATAATTTTTAGTTTTAAAAATATAAACAGGTTTTTCAGAAATAAAATCACAGTTCTGGAAAACAAAAGTACTGAATAACAACAGTTTGACTTTCATTGAAATGAACCCTGCACTTTATGCAATTTTTTAATATTTGGCATAAAGCTGCTTAATTAAATTTTTAAATCTTCTCATTCAAAAATATTCGATGTGTTTACTGTTTTTCAATCCAGTTTTGCATTTTTTTTAGCCCAAAGGGCGTTAGCCCAGAAGGGCTATTAATTTTGTTTTGGCATTTTGCATTGAAAACTTTAACTGTCGGTTAACTTTTCAGATTACTTCCCTGTGTTATATTTAAAGAAATTAAATAAGGAAGAATCTGCATAAATGTATGTATGTTTTTCGTAGTGTGATAAAACAACGGTATCTAGAGCCATCAAATTTTGAATAGCGTAATCCTCCTATCAATAACTTTAGTAACACTTCAACAAATTTTTTACTAGCTATTTCAACAAATGAGCAATGGCAAAACTGTAGGTGGGGAAAAACATTTTTATCTCCAGCACGAGACTGTGTATCAGAAATTCTAAAGATATGCTCATTTTAAAATTATTTTGCAATATTGCTGTTGAATTGAATTTTATGGTTTAAGTGCAAAGAACATTTAATAAATAACGGTAATACACAAAAAGTTTTAAAAACTTCCCTTTAGACGTAATGTAAAATCTGAAGGGATTTCAGAATTTATTATTTTATTACATGTGTAATTATTCTTCTTCTTATTATTATTTGAGTGTGTGTTGCATTTCTATTTTTCTATATCGCACTTTTGCCTAAAATTTTTTTATATTTAAAAAAAAAGCACTATTGCTTTTTAGAATATGTTAAATAGCTTTAGTGCATTTTTTGCCTTATATTTATTTGATATGATTCAGCTGTTTATCAATAACAATAAATTATGAGTTTTATTTTTTTTAATCAGTTTTACCTTGAGTATGGTGGTTAATTGCATATTCAGTTATCAAACTCCACTCAACTACTTGATCAACATTCACCCCTTTTAAAATTTCATGTAATCAACCCACAGGGGGTCAATAATGTTTCATCGACTTGCAGAGAGTCAATAATGTCCTCGTAGAGTCCCAGTTAGAAAGTTTCCTTATGTACTAATACATTTTTGCTGAAGCTTGTGAAGATTCTGAAAGCATTATTATTCGCCATCTTTTGTAACAATCTGTTATACTTCCTTTGATGCTGCTTTTATCTCATTTTACACAAATCAGCATCCCTACAGATTCTATTCCATGAGCAGAAAAAGTAAAAATTGTATTCTACTAATTTGGGTAAACTGGTGGGCTATAGAAGCATCTTAATATAAATTTGGTGAGAAAAAATGTGACTATTATGAGTTATGGGAAAGCATGTTGTTATTCAAAATGTATCATTGTCCAATTTACTTTAACCTCAAAATTATTTGATCTAGGTAAACTCCCACAAATATCATAAAATTCTTAAATAATGCATCTTATACATTGTTCTGCCCCCAGTAATAAACTGTGAATGGATAGTATCATGGAAATCAGAAAATATCTCTAACATGATTTTCTTGCTTCTTTAGATTTTTAAAAAAAAAATTTTTGGTCAAGCTGAAGATGGTATTTCATGGCTTTAAAGTATCCATACTTTGGTTAAATGCAGAGCTTAAATTGCATCGAAGCCTATTGTTTTGATGCAATTTAAGCTCTTACCGGTACTTTGCAATTTGAGGTAAATTGTAATTCTAGCTGAAGCGCACCAAAGCCCTAAATAAAATTTGCAGCAGTACTTCTTTTATGTAAGCAAAACACAGTTTCAAAAGACAAATTTTATTTTAAAAATAAATATACCTTTAAAATCGATTTATAACTTTCAAATTCATGTCTGTCTTTAGAGGTTAAGACTTTGTAGAGGTTAAGACTTTTAAGGAAAGAAAAGCTCCCATGTGTCAAAGGCTCATTCTCCAGATAGTGCAATAAATTTATAAAATGGGGTAAAATGTTTTGTTCCCAAAAGTATTAACGATATTTACCCTGGTCTTCCATGTCCATTACTAGTGACCTCTCACTGCAGTGCTCCTGTAGACTTGAATTATATAACCAAATACAGCAGAGAAAAATTGTCACTTATCAGAATTGCATTTGTTCGCATGTTGTCATCGGATCAGATTCAGGTTAATTTTTTTTTTGCCTAGTCGCATTTGCTTGACAGCTAGAATTATATTGGCAGGGCTTCACAGTCAGGAAGCGTTGGACTCTTCTCTCTTTGTTTTCGAAGCTACAATTCTCCATTGAAGTTTCTTTTCATACTCACATATTTTTCCTAGCACTCTCTCTATTTTCATTAATGACATTTTAACTGTTTTACTTTTTTCCACTGGCATGCTGGAAAAAGAAGTCTTTTCTCCGCACCCATGGAAATCATACATTATACTGTATATTTTAAAGTCTAAATTCAGCAGGAGGCCGCCTGAGCTATTTCTTAGTTTTTTGTGTGAAATTATAAGTCCATTCGGAGCCCCAAATAAGATTAGGTCTAATAATTTATTTCTTTTATTTAATTATTTGTAAATTATTTAATAATTTATTAAATTTCTATTTATATATATTTTTATTCTAATTTAAATTTAATTAATTTAATTATTACTTATTTATTTTTCCTCCTTCTTCCTGATGGCCTTCTAGAGGGCTCAGGCACTTCTGATTTTAGAAATTAAGCTCTGGTTAAATGTCGCACTAAAGCATAGATTTGATTTCCGTTATGATCATATTATCTATTATTAGTTTTTATCAATTAACTGGCCTAGTCACATCTGTTCTTCCTTTTTTTCAGAGGTCAAATGATGAGGATTGATGCTGTGGCATATTTGGTGCATATGTTAAAATATTATGACAGGAGATTTGCAATAAGTAAATAATTTTAGTGGTGATCTCAAAAGTTTTGGAATAATCAGGCGGACATAGTGTAGCCCTAAGTCAGCATTTTTGTTTCAATCTATGTAATCATAAGTCAGAATATTTATAGACTGCAGTGGATTCTCAGTCCGTTTTAAAATAGCAATTTCATTTTTAAACCTTTGGTCAGGCCATTTTAATGTTGGCCTACAGCTGTGTTAACATTTTTAACGTTCCTGTAGCATTTTTTTTAAATGATGATGAAAATTAGTGATACTTTGATGATGTTGAAAACCAGTATTTCTTTAATCTCAGAAATGATTACCTATGGCACAACATAGTTGCATGTGTTGCTCAGTCATTTCCTAAGGGCAGGACCGCGCCGGCAATAGGTGCAAGGTCATGCGGTGCACAACGGCAATGAGTCAAAAAGACGCCAGGCAATCGTTAAAGCAAGCAGCTCATCTCGCTGCCTGTCCGAACAGGAAAATTCTTTTCTTATTTGGACGCCCCTAAGGGGATCAACTCAGGTAAAACCTGGGCAGCTACTGATTAAGATCTTAATGAAGTAATGAAACTTAAATTGTGCAAATTTCATTGTCCCATCCCTAATGATCTTCAGCA